GTCACTAACACACTTTAGACCCTAATCAGCCAAATACATAAATATCTAGAAACCAATGAGGAATCGAAGTGNTAACATAAGAGAAAACAAGGTTTCGTATCCGAGCGGTTCGAGCAGATCCGCCTTCTCGTTCTTTTTCCTATGGCAGTATTCAAGAGTAAAGTTAGGGAAACACGCTCGTAGAGCTTTAAACTCTTCTAGTTCTNTTCGAAATCGCGGCCAATTGTCCGGCTTTCGCACCATATATGTAAGCTCATGTGAATCTGTGGCGAACAACGTGCAGTGTCGCCTTTTCCTCCGTAAGCTCTTCATGGTCCATAATAGCCCGTGCAACTCCATGTGAAGTGGGGATTGTCCCCGACGCATTCCACGTAAGCCTATAAGGTCTAACTCACCATCTTACAGTTGTAAAGTCCATCCTATCCCACTCGTGGGTTCATCTACTTTCCATGAGCCATCGATGAAACAGGTAAAAGTGGTCGGCGTAAGTGTTGTGGTTGGGGGCCGTTGGGCCTCCCATTCCTCCTCACCTGATGCCGCATTAGCGAGAAACAACGCTACGGCCTCTTTCCTGGCTAGGTCTAGTATATCATGTGGCGAGCGATCACAGTTGTTAAAACTTTATCATTGCGTGCCTTCCACAGCTACCAGATGATCCAAGGATAGCCTCTCAGAAGCTCTTCACATTCCCTACGATTAGGTATCCGAGAGAAAAGGTAGTCAAAGTTGGACCATAGATTGTCCGTCGGGAAGCTTGGAGGAGAGTGAGAGATTTGTGATAGCGCCCAGCAACGTGGAAAGCACATGATTAATAATTTCTTCCTCTCCGCCACATCTGGGACATTGTCGGTCTTGTTGTAAGTGTCGGTGGCCCAGGCATTCGTTGACCGCTACTGCTCCCGATAAAGACTGCCATAAGAAGTGCCGTATCTTCTACGTTGTTTTCGCTTTCCACACTTTTGTCTTAAGAGGGTTTAGTGATGGTTGCTGCATCTCAAAGCGTAGCTCTTCATCCAGATTATGTCGGGCCGTTTCATATCCCGAACGTACAGTGCACATGCCTGAATTTGTGAAGTGCCAACAGTATCCATCCGGGTCCCCACTCGTGACGGACGCAGAGAAAGTATTAGCGGGATATCCTCCAGGGCAATGCATTGTTGTAAAAGCCGCACATTCCAAGTATTGGTGGCATCATCGATAAGGTCGACGACCCGTAAATTTTGGGTTTGGTGTGCTCCCAGTCCTGCTACCATCTGGCCGGTCTAGGGACCGCATCCGGCACCCAATTATCCGACCCGACCCACGTGTGGATCCCATTACCTATAGTGCGTCTCGTTCTTTTAGTCACCAAGGACTTTGCACTCCATAAG